CCAGCAGGCAATGGGAGAGTCCCTGTTCCCCTGAGCACTACTGGGGGTAACAAGGAATAACGGCCGTAAGTTGACTGAGAGTGGATTCAGGCTAGATATCAGGAGCCGCTACTTCACAGGCAGGGCGGCTAGGATCTGGACCCAACTTCCAAGGGAAGTGGTGCTCGCCCCTACCCTGGGGGTCTTCAAAAGGAGGCTACACAGCCACCTAGCTGGGGTCATTTGACCCCAGCATCCTTTCCTGCCCATGGCAGGGGATCGGACTAGATGATCTGCTTAGGTCCCTTCTGACCCTACCAACTATGAAACATGTTCTTAAATTGCAAATCTGGCTGTGTGTTTCTGCCTATGACCCAAAGCTACCAAAGTATATTAATGGTTATTAAGTCTATTCCATTGGAAGCCTTGATCCTGCTAGATAGACCCTACAAACTGGCTGGGGCTGGTTTCCATGGAGACCTCAGCAGCAGCTGTGCTTTGAATAGCACAAGGCCGGGGTTTCCATGGAGACTGGCAGGCAGCAGCAACTCCAGTCTCTTCATGGTAGTGGGGCCTGAGGGGGCCGCTGTGCTGTGGCTGGCGGTGGGGCGGGCTTAGCTGATGCCGCCTGTGTGGGGCAGGCAGCAGCGGTGGCAGCACCAGTTTGAAGGGTGGCTACAGGGGAGTACGGGGAATTTTGGGGTGGCTATAGCCCCACTCCCCCAACCTCTAGCACCGCGCCTGCTGGCAGGGCATGTGGCAGGGTGCGGAGTTGCTTCAGAGACTGGCTGGGATCTTGTGGCAGTGACAGCGTGGTCCAGAGACAGCACAGAGTCATGGTCTGCAGCCTGCAGGCCTGGGTAAGGGCATGCGGGTTGCTGATAGTGGCTCTGCCCCTGCTCTGCTTCTTCTGCTTGATATACCTCTCTCTGCATGTGTCTTGTATCAGTCATGTGAATAAGTGATATGATGAAAAATTCTAAATCATCGTGTGGACAAAGATCCAGGTATGCTTACGAATGAAGCGGTTTGAATTTCCCCCCTTAGATACCATTAACTTGAAGGGGCGTAGATTTTGTATAGAGGGCAAATTATCCTTGTCATGCTGAACAATGAATCTGGGACTTAACTGTAATTTGTATAAAAACATGTATTTTATATTAGTAATTCTTTACCTTTTGAGATTCAAGGCACCCCTCCATAACTTTTCTGAATTTAGCAGTTGTGAACCTCTGTTGTACTGCCACAGCTTAACTCGGTGCCATTCGACAGGGGAGCTCCTGTCTGCTGTAGATTTATCAGATAAACCTAGGAACAAGCATTCCTGCTTGCCTTGATGCAGCCCTGCCTGGTCCTGCCCTCACTTTTCCGAGAAATGGGTGCACCGGCAGTTTCAACCAGTGGCTGTGGCTGTGGTGTGGCAGGCTTGACATCTATGTATTTACTGTGTTCCCCCAGGCTATCACCTCTGCCTGTAGGTGGAAATGTCCTACATGCCTCAGGTTTAACGGATGAGCCTAATGCAGAGAGAAATGCCCACTTCTGTTATAGCTGCTTCCTGATCTGGCTGTACCAATGGCGTGTGAGGCAGATTCACCTGGCAGCACTAGTCATGGTGTCACCCAAGCTGCAGTACCCTTCAAAGAGTCTCATGGCACCCTGGTGGAGAACCACAGTTCTATATCATACATCCAAATTAAACCATTATTAAGAGTGAGGCTTATTTTCAGGGCTGTTTTCACGGTGTGCTGGCAAACAGCCAATCAGAGTGTGAACAAGCATTGGAACAGAAGCTGGTGGCGGTGGAGCGCCACCATAATGGCAGGGACATGCGATGGAGTGGGGGTTAGGGTTCCCCCCACGATGGTGGCCCGGCTTCTCCCCGGCTTCGGGCCTGGTCCTCCCCCACAGCAGACCTGGACCCACTCCTCTCCTTCCCCCCCACTGCCACTGTGGGGGCGAGTGGGCCCAACGCAGGGGGGAGAGCAGTGGGTCTGGCCTAACGCAGCTCAATGGAGCAGCGGCTGAGGGAGGGAAGGAGTGGGCATCCTCCCCCACGTCTGGCCCAGTCCCACTCCTCCCTTATCCCCCCCCCCCCC